CTCATTCTCATTTCCTCGGCCAGAACACTATTGCACTATTGCACATATATCAAAGCATTGCATAGCATTGCAGATCAGAAATGCACACATATGATATACCGATGGAATCAGTCATTTAAAGTTTTGTGCTAGATTCATTTTATGCAAATATGTTCCTCTCCAGTGTTTCCTCCCGGTATCTGTGACAGTTTCTGGTCTAACTGGATTTTTCAGTGCCTTCATCTCAAGCTACAAAACAGCTGTTGTCTTTGGAGTGGTAGACCAGTCTCAACCCGTCTCGACCAGTTTCATTAGTCTGATAAATACCAGATGACAAACTCAGATTGAAACAATGTTTAAACTTTGTCATGATGAGAATATTTGGCGGTTTGAGCACTTAATAAAATGATTTCTTTTGACTCAATTGCCACATTTGGATGTTTTTCCCATAACATAAAAGTGATCTAGTTTTCTTTGTCATCCAAGTCCAAAACATGTAATTGCATCAAAGTGAAACTTTATGTAAACACATGTGCCTCAGCCTTCGTTTCATTTAAAATATTTGTGTGGAATTTTGGCAGTTGGCAAAGTGAGATAAGATTGATTAATATGTGAAAACATGACAGTCAGTGGTTCGTTAGTTATATGTCATGTTTTCATTTGAATGAAATGTTATGAGATATTTTGCTGTTACCTATTTCCTCCATACTCATTAACTGCCCTGTGGTGGTGGGCATTGCTGTCTGAGTAGGAATTCCATGCTGGTGTAGGAAGGACATGGCGTGGGTCTGCAACCCCAGCACGGTCGTCTCCTCACTCTCTTTTGAGTTCATGATCTTCAGGACATACTTGGAGCCCTCCTTATCCTCCTCGAGGTAGTTCTGGTCGATGTAACTCGGCAGGGTGGTGATCTCCCTCACGGTCACTCCATAAAGTTGCTGAGTCACTTCGGTTGCTTGCTGGGGGGTGAGCATTGGCCTTGGATCAGCAGCTGTGGGATTATTGCACATAACAGTAACAACACAACACAATTTAACACAAATAGTGAGCGAGTAAGTGCAGTCTTGCCAGATTGTAAAGTTGAAGTTCACATAAAAGTGCTATTGAGTTTGTCAGTCACATACGATTCTTAAACATGAAGAGCAGGTTGAGTGAGATGTTGCAGAGTCAGACGCTAGAAGAATAGACTTATATACTGTATGAAGTTGAGCAGGCCATCCTGCCCGAATCAGAATACCCAGATAATTGTAACAATTAACCACCTCTATTTCTCTTCAGAGTGACCACTCGTTTTTTGCATTAACAGCAAGTCCTTCATAATAAAGGTAGCTTGAGAGTTTTTGCTCACTGAAAAGGGATTTAATGGTTTTCCAAAACCTTCTATAGCATCATTTAGTTAGAAGTAAACATGTTATTATAATCCTTATGTACAAAGCATATGATCCACACGATTTCTAATGGGTAATATTCATACACAGAAACCCTTACTTAACATGTTTGAGCTCTAAATGTTGTGTGGGGCTGCTTTTCCAACATCTCTGCAGCCGTGTGCAGCACTTTCAGAGCACAGTGAACCTTGACATTCTCAGCAAGACTCAGCAACAACACTGCTAAACATTATTTAAGAGGGGAAAAAAAGCACTTACCCATCATCTTCTGTCGAAAGATGTGTGGTGTTGTGAGACTGTAGCAGTACTCAGAAACAAAAATCTTCTGACCAGTGTTTAGGGGCGTTGAAACGCAAATTTTTCCTTCAGGCTTTTTTTATCAACAATCCTGTTAGATTACTGAACACATAACACTCGTCTCTCTGCTGCTCTCTGCTGAGGCGTCTTATGTCAGATGACAGTAATGATGATGAAGCAATTTTCAGCTGGTGTTTCAGGTTTAGGTCGATCAGTCTTGAGCAGTCTTTGCAGCAGTCTCACAGATGTAGGTTTTCCAGAAGATGCAAACTTCAGCACGCGTCTCTTCTGAGGCAGATTCCTCAGGTCGTACACTTACATCAGGGGCAACCCAAAGGCAGAAGCGCCTCGAAGCATAAATTTTCATGCGTGCAGGCACCTGACTGTTCACGACAGAAGGGTGGAATGTTGTAGCTTTAAGTCGCTGCGATGCATTCCAGTGAATTCATGCTGTAGATTATCTGGCACACCAGACAGTTCCCTTTAATCATCTCAACCAATATGTTCACTTTTTTGACTTTTCATGTTCAGGAACCTTTTGTACAAGCACCAGCATAACCGTTTTTTTTTCTCGCAGGAAAATAAACAGTGTTTACACACAATGCACTAATTGTCAAGAGCAAGCAACTCAGCATGTGGCAACAAGGCCCACCTTCACTTATACGTATTAATGATTCACTTAAAGCAAAAACTTGGCTGCAGTTCCATTGTCATTATAATGACATGAGAGGAACAACATGTACCCTAATTAACGTCAGAAATGATTTACGTCCTGTAACTGGTTCAATTTTGTTTTATCTAGAGTTCAAATCTACTCTTCTGTCACAGGTGCATTGAGTTTAAATCCATAGATATGTTTAAAATG